AAAATGTAAGTTTTATTGCGCATGCGCAAGATACATGAGTTAAAAAAATTGTAAGTCATAGAAATTTATGATCCATTAGTCTAGTTTAATTTCCCGCAAAGAATTGAAAAATATTTTCAYGGTAATGAGTGGTAAAGTGGCCCCTGTTTTTTGGGACACACGGTATATCAGAACATTCCATCAAAATTAAAAGGAAGTATAAAGACTTTTCAGAATGGTTGTGGTCGAAAAGTATGGTTAAATATATCATTACGAATTGATATAATATAATCTGATCAACGAAAAACTCAGTTACCAAGATATTTGTAGAGGTTAGTTGGCAAGAGTCATAAAATGGTTGGTATTTGGTACCTATTGAAGAGGGTTGGCGAGAGAATGTCGCACCCTATACGGTGCGGAGAAACCCGATTTAGCACGGTCATTTTTTTTCAATAAACCGACTGAACAGAGTCAAAATAATGCAACGTTGTATAATTTTCTGTCCTTGTAAAACCAACCATCRCCACATGTGGATCGTCTTATGAAACACTCATATATACTACATAACGTCCACGTGTACAATTTTTATTAGGTATTTTCATATATACTTTATTCTATTTTTGTGATTTTCGATATTGAATCAGGTCTCAATGAATTGTTAACCAAGAACACTTGTTAGTTTGTAAGACGTAACTCGTTATTCCGTTTTAATTTAGAACAAAAATATTATAGTATAAGTAAACCAACACTTTTTATAAACGCAATGGAAAATTATGAAATTGATGTTATTTTATCGTTAAAARTAAAAGAATTGGAACATTTTGGAGCGAATTTTATGTGAAAAGTTATTCATGATTTGCCTAATTATATTRCTGATGGTATTTATAAACAATTTTATGTAATTTTTAAGCACAAAATACGACAATATTATATTGAAATGTATGATAATTAAGAAATAAGTACGTATAAATTAAGTTAGTAAGTTAGGTAATAAAAAAAGACAACGTTGTGCGTAGGTATTTCTGTGCTCAATACTCTTTTTTTTGGATTCCTATTGTTTGATTTAATCTCTGCTCAATGGTGTCGTGAAAAAGGTATAAACTATCTGGTTGCAACCCTGCAGTGCGACGCCACTACCCTTGTTAAAACCAGCACACAGGTAATACGTGTG